AACCGATGTTGACGCTCATGAAGAGGCGGTGAAGTTCAGTCATTATATGAAATTCGATTTCCTAGTTTTGCCGCTTTATTTATTACAATCGTTTTGGTCTGAGCTCAAAATAGGAATGTAATTATATGTTTTCTGTAACTTATGTACATGATCATTTGTTCTTCTTGTTGTGTTTTTCTGGAAGGTAAACATAACTTACTGTAAATTCTGTTCCAATATTTTCATAGATTAACTGACACATTCGAGCAGTGATTTCAATTTTATAGTGAAGAAATTCTTTTAGAACACTGTGAATTTTTTCAAGAGAACCATTTCCCTATACAAATATTCCCATTTGTTTTCGTACTGATGTGTAGAGTCCCGCATGGAAGGAGACGCAGGATTCTAATTAAGGCGACGAATGCAAATAGCGAATTGAGGGTGAGGACACAAGGGGGAGAAACAGATCAAGGTACTTAGTAAATAATACAATATTACTTAGATGCGACGTCACGCGAAGACAAGAAATAAAAAACGAATAAGCGAATGCAGTATCTGTAAACGCTTCAGTAAAATGGATTGCATCAACAAGAAATGCAGACTATTCCGCTGATTAGTAAGATTTAAATTTTTATGCGTGATTTTTTTGAAAATTAGCCTTGATTCACACGAGCGACTCTCACTGGTGGGAAAAGCAGTACACTGAAATCGAGGTAATACATTTACGTCAACATGTCAACATGCTTGAGAAAGCACAGCCGTTTTCTATACTTGTTCATCAGGCGTAAGTTTACTGTAACACACAAACTGCGAGAAAAAGATTAATGTAAACATTGCAGCTCGGGCCGCAACCGAACTGAAAAACCGGATTTTCATGAGCGTTATTTAATAGATCGATTAAAGTCGCTTGTAAACAACAGATTCTTCGTGAGGGACTTCAAGACATATTTTCATTTATCACTTGATCACTTTTCAGGAATTCAGACTGATAATCACAGCGGCATAACCGCCGCACATTTCAGGTATCAAAATGCACGATGATAATTTTCGCATGCTTTTGCGTGACTAAATGTGCGCGTCACGTGCCTCGTAATTTTCAAGATGAGTGACTCATTGCCTGTCCCGCTCTATTGGATCAAATGATAGTATGGAAAACGATTA